AGTGTAGCGGAAGAAGTGTGTGGAACAATAAAAAGAGGCAGTAGTAAAAGAAGAGATGCATGGTGGAATGATGAAGTGAAAGAAGCTGTAAAGAAGAAGAAGAAAGCATGGTTAGACTACTTGGCCTCTAGTAATGATAAGGATATGAGAGAGAAGATGAAAGAAAGATATAGGCTGCAGAAAGTTCACACGAAAGCACTGATTGAGGAAGTGCGTGAAAGGTGTAGAATGGAAGCGGACGAAAGGTTGTCGCACAACTTTAAGGAGAACTCCAAACTCTTCTGGAAAGAGGTTGGAAGGACCCGAAGTGGTGCGACGGCCTTAAGAATGAACAAAGTGCTTTCGAGAACTAATGACGTCCTCTCAGAAAAATCGGACGTCATGCAGCGATGGAGCGAATTTTATAGAGAAATGTATGCGTGTGATGATCTTAGTGAGGGATCCGGGGATGACGCCGTGACTGGTACGCCAGACCCGGACCTCGATGACACTGAGGTCATCAGTATGAAAGAGATTGAACGTGCGATTCGAAGTTTGAAATGTGGTAAGGCTGCGGGACTAGACAGAGTTACTGCTGAAATGGTCAAGTATGGTGGGCCTCGCGTCTGGGACAGCTTCCATCTGCTGTACAATTTGTGCTGGCGGACGGGGGATGTCCCGGATGATTGGCGATCCGCAGTCATTGTGCCTTTATATAAAGGTAAAGGTTCACATTTTGACTGCGGGTGCTATCGGGCGATCAGCTTGACCAGTTTAGCAAGTAAAGTTTACTCGAAAGTTTTGACACGTAGGGTGCAAGAGAAATCGGAAAGATTTCTATGGGAGGCACAATGCGGATTTAGACCTGGAAGAGGATGCACGGATCAAATGTTTTCTCTCCGCATGATCACGGAAAAGCTTCTGGCTGCTAACCAGAAGATTTTCTGTGCTTTTGTGGATCTTGAGAAAGCATTTGATAAGGTTGTAAGGAATAAAATGTGGGAACTGTTGCCGGGGTATGGTGTGGATGGTCGATTGCTAAGGGCTGTGCAGTCTCTTTACTGTGACTGTAAAGCCTGTGTGCGGGTAGGGCATGACCTGTCACCCATGTTTAACGTCCAAACGGGCGTAAAGCAGGGTTGTGTCATGTCTTCCTGGCTGTTCATACTGTATCTCGACAGCTGTTTACAGAAGCTGAAAGATAGCTGTTTGGGTGTGAAATTGGGTGACATAAAAGTAAATTGTCTGCTGTATGCTGATGATGCAGTGCTTATTGCACCATCAGAGGCAGAACTGCAGGCATTAGTCACGTGTATGAAAGAGAAATGTGAAATTAAAGGTCTCCGTTTGAATGCTAATAAAACTAAGGTTCTGGTATTTGAAAGGGACGAAGAGAGAACGAAGTGTGAAATATGGGTAAATCAGGAATGTCTAGAACAGGTAAATGAAATTGTATACTTGGGGAGTGCTTTTAGCCGGGATGGAAGATGTGATTTAGATGTGGACAGGCGTGTCGCTGCCGGGAACAAAGTCAATGGTGCCCTGACTGCGTTAGTCAAAAGGCAAGGCGTAGCGAAGAGTGCACGCCTTGCAATACATAACGCAGTGTTGGTACCGACTTTGTTATATGGCAGCGAAACCTGGGTATGCCAGAAGAAGCATAAAAGTAAGTTGAATGCAGTGGAGATGCGATCTCTTCGTAAAATGTGCGGCGTTACTATGGCCGACCGAAAGCGAAACGAAGAGATTCGCAATATGGCAGGTTTGAAAGATGACCTTATCACAAAAATTGATAAGGGCGTGCTTCGGTGGTTTGGGCACATTGAGCGAATGAGTGAAGACCGAATGGTGAAGAAAATATATAGCGCGAAAGTTAATATTAAAAGGTGTCGAGGTAGACCGAGACTAACTTTCGAAGACCATGTGAGCAAATTGCTCGAAGAGGGTAGGGTCAAGAGTACTCGGATACCTAGACGTGCATGCATGAAGAAGATAATGAATCTGAAAGAAGCGAAAGAGGTTTGTAAGGATCGTGACACTTGGCGATCTGTTCTCTCTGGCTACCCCGTTAGGGATTGTGCGTGAAGATAAATAAATAAAATAAAATAAAATATACTGAACATCCGTGTTAATATGTTTAGGATACGTTCTATGTATCTTGTGTTAGTTGTTTCTGCCCAGCAGTTGGCACTATAGTACAGCCGGCTCCATAACTACCAGGTATCCTACTATTTCTGAATTCAGTTCGTATTGTGCTCTAGCTGCTCTGGATATTGCATTATATAGATTTATAGCTTTCCAGCTAATTTTAAAATTTAGGTTGCGATCTATAATTAAGCCTAATATTTTTTAAAGCCTGTGAGATTACTAAAACAGTCACCACGTGACTGTTCTAGTAATATGTAGAATAGACACACTTTTACTGAAAATTGTAATATATTGAAAATTCCGTGAAAAAATAGAAAAAATATATCTGAACTTTATTATTTGAATTCTATATTAAAAATATCACAATTTTAGAAAATAAAAATATATGTCCTCGATTTAATTTTCGAGTTATAGAGCGTTAAAAATTATGATTTTATGGGAATATTGGTTTTTAGGCTGTAAAATCTTGTAGAGTGATCCAATTTTTGTGCTACTCGTATAAACGTGTTTGATAGCGCGTTATAAGCACTTTTGAAAAACACTCTTAGAAGTAGCTGCACTATTCTGGTTCTAAAACCTGGGTAGTTGAGGTCTCCGTTATGAAGAATAGGTGCGGCTTCCCGGTCTCAAGGTGGTGGTGGACCGGATCGAGGTTAGTGTCCAAATCTGTGATGTTCGTAAGGTACACTTTAAGCAGGAGGAAGTGCCGTCGTTAATTTACCATATTCTTCTTGTTATTTTTTTATGTTGGTTCGGTGTTTTTTTTGGCGGGGAAGCAGTTGAGAAATTAAGGTGCCGCTCAATATACCAACTGAAGACTCAAGAGCTTAGTTAACCGATGGGGAACTCATTTGGAGACCACTGTGACGCTCAAACCCTCCCCCCCCTTCCCCACAGAAATGGCCACCGGGTCCTCTCATCCAGTCGCCAACTGGCACGTTGGAGCATTTTGGGGGTTTTTCGCAAGTTGGTGGGTCAGTCTTTGGCATGTGACTGCCGCGCTACTTTCTTTCCCAACAATCTGCGGTCGACCAACGAAAAGACCGTGCCTCGGATCCCGCTACCTTCCGAAATGAGTTAACCGGTATAGCTTTACTCAGAAGTCCAGACTAGTCTTGAGCGACGCAACTAATGGCACTTCTGTTCCCCAAAGGACTCACGGAACGCAGTCAGCTGTTTCGCGCCTGACTCCGATGGGAAGGATCTTCAGTGGTCACCACACGCTAAAGTAGCCAGTGATGCCGTTGCCTGAGGCGGACCGCTCGGAGGTAGATCCCAGCCACTCCAAATTTTTTTTACGTAGTAAAGCCACGCTACAGCTATATTATGCTTGTTCTACAAGCATAATATAGTTGCAGCTAATGGGTCGGATCGACCAGGGAAGGATCACGCTCTTACAGAATACTAGCGTAAAATAGCAGCTTAATGCTGCTGTGTTTCGTATGGTGAGTGTAGAGAACCGCAGACCCATTTTACTGGAATAGAGGCATTCTATCTTAGTCCTCACGGCTGACAACGTATCTGCATTTTAATTCGCAAACGAAGATAGATGTAGATGTGTATGGGCCACAACAACCACTTACCATTAGGTGGACTGTGTGCTCGTTTGTCACCCTTATTCTATATAAAAAAATATCAGCTTAAGGCTGCCGTCTTTTAAAGTTGACTCGCATCGAATCATTAACGCCACTTAGCATTTTTTTAGAGCAAACTAATGTTTTAGAGTAAAATATTTTAATAACACATTATAAGTAATGACTCCATATTTTTTTAGGGTCATCTGTGTGGTCTATGCAGCTAAATCAAACGTTAAATACAGCTCTCTCGCACCGAACTCAATTTCAAGGTTTGTTCGTGTACCATTATAATGCAATCGATAATAAAAGGGTGAAATCTTTCCAGCGCATTAATAGCTAAACATCATCTCCAAATTGCGCTGTTTCATTTTTTCTAAATCTCTTTCACTGTCTTAAATAAGAGGTCTCAATTTGGTCAAACTTTCCTGTTATCAAAAAAAAAACTATTTGGTTCATAGCAATAGCTCAAATTACTTATGTTATTATTATTTTTGCCGCTGTGTTTTGTATGGTGAGTGTAGAGAATCGGAAACCCATTTTACTGGAAACGTGGCATTCAATCTTAGTTCTCAGGGGTGACAACGCATCTGCATTTTAATTCATATGCGAGGATAGATGTAGATGCCAATGGGCCACAGCACCTACTTAACATCAGGTGGAATGTGTTCTCCTTTGTCCTATATGTCCATTTACTTATGCTGAATTAAATTGCTAGTCAGGAGTAGATTAGTCAATTTTGCAAGAGATATTTATTTATCCAATAGCTAATAATCAACTAAAAACGTAGACGCAGAGTTTTAATTTTTCACGAACATCGACACGATGTTGACAATACGAATACGGAAGCCAAAGGTGTTGTGTTGCCGATTTTTTTTTAAATAAAAAATGGTCTCACTCTTGACCTCCATCTCCATATACGAGTATTGGAAGTTAAGGGTTCGAACTCTGAATGCAGACAGGTATGTTAACTACTGATCCACACTGACGTCACGTACACCTCTACATTTTGTAAGCAAGACTTGTTTATCTAAGTTCTAATGGAACTTATAGTTGAAGGGTATTAATTTTTCATTGCAAGGTATACATCGTTAAGGGTACGCTTAGACATTAAAATTCAGAAAGGGCTGGTGTTGTTTACTTTTAAATTAATGAAATAACGTCTGATGTGTTGTTCGATCAACTTGAATATTTTATGATTGTAGTGCAACGAAATAGGTGTAAGAAAGCTAATTGTAAACTAAACTACTTGTACACGACGCTCGTACGTTAAGCTTCATTCGGTTATCACAGCAAAAAATGATACCAGATCACTTGTTCGACGAAGGCATAAATAATTCTCTTTTACAAAAAGACATGAAGCATGTACAACAGAATAGGACTGTGTATGATCGGACGCAAAGGGACTACGTGAGTGGGATTTCATATGTTCAATTTTCGCTTTTAGTTTCAATCTTAGTATATCCGTTCATATTATTGTTGCATCATAATCATCAAGCAGCCTAACAAAATCCATTAGCTGGATATAGGCCTCTCCCATAGATGAGGGCTATTTGCCATAGTTGCCAGGCTTTATTATTTCGCAGTTTTTATTATTTTGAGCGCCTAGTTCCCGTTTTATTTCCAGCCGACGCATCTTACGACACCATCCATGTGGTGGCGAGAGTGACGACTCTCGATCTACTACTATATACTTAATATTGTTTGGTTTGACTTATTTACTATTACTTAAGGTTGATAATTCTTGCTTCTTAAATATTTAACCTGCAATTTCTTTTCACATTAATATTTAAATAATGCCAAGACAAATAATGTCGTGTACTGGCGTGACGGCGAACAGAATTCACTACCGCATTGCTTTTCGTGGGTGTCGTAAACGGTGCCAAAGCGATACTGAAACAGGAGATGCAGAGAGAGACCCGTAGACATCTACATTTATCCTCAAAAAAGAATCAAAATGCTGATGCGTCGTCACCCGTGAGGACTAAGTTGGAATGCCTCTTTTCCAGTAAAATGGGTATCCGGTTCACTCACCACACTCACCATACGAAATACAACAGTGTCTAGCTGCCGTTTTACGCTAGTATTCAGTGAGAGCGTGGTCCTTCCCCGGTCGAACCGACCCATTCGTGCTACAACTATACTACTAATACAGCTGCAGCATGGCTCTACCAAGTATAAATCTTCCCGATAACAACAAAATAATAATAATAAACTGCCGTTGCGACTCATCTGCCACGCGTGCCAACTATTTTGTTCTGTTTTTATCTAAAATTACCTACACACTAGGATTTTCCTATTGTATCGTGGAGGCAGTATATATACATAAAATGCACAAGTACAAACATCCAGTTCCAAAAGAATTATTTGTAGGCTATGCAAATACTTGTTCCGTGCGGGATTCAAACCCAGCGCTGCAACTCAGCTTTAAACCCACTGCGCCATGAAGCCGTTGGCAAATATCTCGTCTATGGGGTAATCTATAGGGGAGGTCCATATTCAGCACTGGACTTTTGATAGGATGTGTGGAAAGGTAGGAAAGAAATATCTATTTTGAAATGGAAAAAAAAACATGTGTCAGTGTCGTGGAACACTCGGTTGGGATTGAAGTTCCTATCGTAGGATATTATTATTTATAAACGCTTTATATTACTGATTAACAAATACAAATAAATAAATTACTAGCGTCTATTAAAATGAAGCGTCATTTAAAATAAAATAATATTTCGTTTATGGCATGATAAGAAAAAGTGCGAGTAAGATGGATATTATTCCATCTCGCTTCCTTATAACCGCCAAGACCGTCTACACTACGTCACAATGGGTCGTGAGCGCTTGAGTCGTGACGGAAAAATCTTACACTTTTTCTCGCCTAGCCCCCATCCGCCAAATTCGTACCGTTCGATATGGAATTTCGATCTAATAAGTCAAGCAACATCTCCTTCATAAACCCTCGGGAAAGACCGAAGTTTATGTCCATTATGCCATTTAGGTATTTTCGTAAGCAAATATCGATCACTCGTTTTAACTCGAAGTAAAATTTTAAGTGTGATGTTTTTGGAACATTTGGTATACCTCAAGATTCTCTAAGGATAAGTTGGGCTGTTGGAAGTCATTATTCACAAATGTAATACTCGTAGGAACAAGAGCAACGTGATTTGTTGTCATCACAAGATGGCGATACTTGTGAGATTCATGACCAGTTCTATCGCGACCATAAACTTCTGCTGGTGTTGTTTCGAGCTCTCGCTGTAATGCCAATCACTCGTTCAAGACCAGGTAATGCAATGTAATTTGTAGATCTTTTATATTATGTCATCTTAGACTTGTGGATCCATAATACAAGTTTGTACCTAGTTTGGACACCAGTTTCCCGCACAACATTTGTTTTGTATATTTTTTTAAGCCTTATACAATTAAATTGTGAAAAAAAAGTATTTGTAATATTTTTAGAAAAGTTCTGTCTGCAAATATATAATATAAAGTTTTTTTTTATTATATGGTGACAAACGAGCACACAGTCCACCCGGTGGTAAGTGGTTGCTGTGGCCCATATACATCTACATCTATCATCGATTAACAATCAAAATGCAGATGCGTTGTCATATGTGAGGACTGATGAAGATGGAATGCCTCGTTTCCAGTAAAATGGATCTCCGGTTCTCTACACTCACTATAAGAAATACAACAGCGTTAATTTGCTATTTTACGCTGGTATTCTGTGAGAGCATAGACTTACCCGGTAGAGCTGACCCATTCGTGCTGCAACCATAGCTACTATAGCATAGAGAATGACATAGCGGCAGCGTGGCTCTGCCATGTGTAAAAAAATTAAAACACGCAAAACAAAATTTTAAAACTATTTCTAAATATAAATAATAAATCCTTATTGTTTATTATTTTACTATATCAATATGGAATCTACTTAATATCATCAATTTCAACCGACTTCAAAAAGGAGGAGGTTCTCAATTTGTCGGATTTATTATGTATGTTCACCGATTACTCGAAGACGCCTGAACCGATTTCGATGATTCTTTTTTATTTGAAAGCTGGTGCTTTTCATGTGGTCCCATATAAATATGATCAAAATCTGACCAGTAGTTTTTTGAGTTATCCTTAATAATTTATATTGAAGTCGGTTGTACAAAATTTTTAATTTTACCACTTGTTACTAGGTGAATAGAATCTTTCTCTGCCAAGGAAATCGTCTAGGTTTTATTTCTGCTGACAAGAAGCAGTGAACTGCTGTGTACCGCTTTACAAAGTAAAACAGCCAGTGTTTGCAAGAGGCCTTCTTTGAAGTTGGATGTAGGTCTCATGGGGCTGCCGTAGCCACTTACTATGCTGGACTGTATATTACGATATTATTACATATTTATTCACTTGAACAACAAATGATTTTACTTACTTGACTACTGAATTGTTATTTACGTGCAGGTTTAAACTTTAATTTGAAATCTTGTATTATGAGCGCCGTTCCACACTGCATGAATATTGAAACCCTAGTAGATTGAAATCACACTAAATGACACACTGCACTGTACGGATTACAGTATAGTTCAGTTGAACATAGTGTATGTTCGGAATGCGCAATCTAGTACGTAGTACATATATATCGATGAGAATAACTTACATATGTTAATAATGTTGGGACATTCTTTCAGGAACTATCACATTCAGCTGGAGGTCGCGTGCTACTATGTACGCAATATGTTTTTATATTGTTACTACGGTGATTGTTATTAATGTGGGCTACGAGCGTATCATGATATTGCGGTCAATAAGAAAATTCGACGATTATATTTACGCCATTCTGTTTATTGTTTTCCTTGTGCCACATTTTTGGATTCCATTCGTTGGATGGGGAGTTGCTCACCAGGTGGCTATTTATAAAACTAACTGGGGAAAATTTCAGGTAATTTAATTTATTATTTCCGTAGCATTTATTGCAGAGGGAAACTGAAACAGGAAATGCATATTCCTGATAATATTTCAATAATACTCGTAATAATAATAAACTGCAGTTGCCTACCCGTTCGCTAAGTTTGGCAGATATGGCCATTATCTCTCCATGAGGAAATCTATGGGTGAAAGGGGGGGGGGGACCTTGACAGGTTGTAATGAATGAATGCCACAAGTGGCATTTCTTAGGGGAGGCCTACGTTAAGCAATGGACTTGTAAGGGTCTGTAATATGATATTATAATGCTAATATTTGAATGCATGGAAAATAAAATTGTTTCTTATATATTCTTCATCATTTAATTCATCATGAACCTTTCTTCATTCATTCATTCGTTACAGTCCTTAATAAACTCGAATAAGGGGACAAAGCCATCAACTTATAATAAATTTTATTAACTAAATATTTAATTTTTTGAACAAAAACCGAATCATTTTGCTGGATTTAGTATTTGAATACCACCGTTCCGGCATAAATATCTCATACTGTGTAGCCAAAATGAGAGTGAAATTTGTTCGAAATATATTCCACTATACGGAATTCCGTTAAAACTATTGGATTATTTATTGTTTGTTTAACAAAAGTAAAGTTACAGTCTCTACATGTTCCATCGCTGGGTAACAGACCTCTTATTTCTGAGGGGGTTATGAATCATCAAAAAACACTGGAGCAGCGAGGCGGTATATTGCCTCGCTGCTACCTTATTATAATAATAATATCCTCCATACCGAATTTTGGTCACGGCGGCCAGCCTCAACAGAGACTAGTCATCAGCGCAGGAAAGGATTAATATAATCCTAATAGCCCAAGTGTATGCGCAAGCACAGGTGCACCCTCTATTCCCTTACTCTTAGAGAGTTCAGGCGCAGGACCAACGGCTTTACGTGCTTTCCTAGGCACGAGGGTGAGACACAACCAACTTCATGACTCCGGGTAGCTACTGAGAATTTCTTGACCGAAAAACTCAATAATTGATTTTTTTGGCCCGACCGGGATTCGAACCCAGGACCTCATGATAAGCATTCGCACTATTACTACTATTAGAAAAACAAGGCAGTTAGTCAGTCTTATTATAATATTTATGTGTTTGTCGTCATAATGATATATGTACAATTAATAGAATCAGGCGTAACTTTGCGGAAATTAAAAAAAAATTTAAAACCTTTTATATAATGATATATATTTTTAGGTCAGATATTATAGAGTGACGGGCGAAAATCTCCAATTTCCAAACTTGAAGTTATCCATTATGATCATCAGTGTTGGCTGTCTTCTTCTAGCCGTGTGTTTCCTTCTTAGCTTGTACGCTTTGTTGGATGGATTTGTATTGAAACACATCATTGCCTACATTCATATTATAACCATGATTAATATGAATTGCGCTCTGTGGTACATCAATTGTAAAGGCATCAAGATCGCGTCCCAGAGTCTCTCCGAATGCTTTCGTAGAGTAAGTAATTAGCGGATAAGCACAAGACTAAACTAACTAAATATATAAATAACAATTTAAAAAGTAAATGCTAATTAGAAATGAAGAACAACAATGTTGGAATTCTTCATTTCTAATTAACTCTTTTACCCGATAGTGTAAAAAAGCACTTTTTTTTCTAAACGCAAAATAGATACTACTTGAAATTCAACAACATTGCAGAAGGCATTTTTTTAAATTTTACTTTCACACTAGGATTTTCTTGCCTACCGGAGAGAGTTTACATACATACATTTCTCAAGGATAAATATCTAGACCCAGAACAATTATTTGTAGGTCATACATATAATTGTATACATATAATTCGTCGTTAAAGTCGCAAAGGGGCGAACCATAATTTTTAAAAAAATTACAGGAGAGCAAGAAAACATTTATTATTCCCCAATTACTAACTTTTTTCATCAGAAAATTAAATATGTTAGACTTAATAGAAAACTACAAATTATATAAGATTAATTTTCTGATGAAAAAAAAGCAAGTAATCAAAAAAAGCAAAGGGGTGAACCTCAATTTTTCAAAAATTAAGGTTCGCCCCTTTGCGCCGTCAACGACGAATTGTGATCACCAGCTTTCTTGCAGATCGGAGAATCAAGGTCGTTGTAGACGGTGCATGCTCCGACTACAAGCCTATTAACGCTGGTGTTCCACAAGGCTGCGTGCTATCACCAACGCTGTTTCTTCTGCATATCAATGATATGTTGCAAGCTGGTAGCATTCATTGCTATGCAGATGACAGCACTGGTGATGCTCTATACACCGGCCGTGCCAATATTTCTCGGGAAAACGTCACCGAGTACCGGAACAAACTTGTGTCTGAAGTCGAGTCTTTGCTGGACAAAGTCTCGGATTGGGGGCGACTAAATCTAGTCCAGTTTAATCCTCAGAAGACACAAGTTTGCGCGTTTACCGCTAAAAAGAACCCCTTTGTCGTATCTCCTCAGTTTCAAGGTACTCCCCTTGTTGCCTCAGCCAGTATCGGAATCCTCGGCGTCGACATATCGAGTAGCGTGCAGTTTCGTGGTCACTTGGAAGAGAAGGCCAAATTGGCCTCTAAAAAGCTTGGCGTGCTCAGCAGAGCGGGACAGTATTTCATGCCGGCTCAACGCCTGCAACTTTACAAGGCGCAGGTTCGGCCTCACATGGAATACTGTTCCCATCTCTGGGCTGGGGCTCCCCAGTGCCAACTTCTTCCACTTGACCGCATCCAGCGCAGAGCGGCTCGAATCGTCGACGACCGAGTCCTTTCCGATCGGCTCGACTCATTGGCACTGCGAAGAGATGTTGCATCTCTTAGCATTTTCTTTCGCATTTACCATGGGGAGTGCTCTGAGGAATTGTTCGGATTAATCCCAGCCGCCAAATTTCACGAACGCACATCGCGGCAGAACTCCCGATACCATCCACACCATCTGGATGATTGGCGGTCCACCACTGTGCGATTTAGAAGATGTTTTCTTCCTCGCACAACTTCCTTGTGGAATAGTTTACCACCAGCGATTTTTCCGGACCGATACGACTTAGGGACCTTCAAGAAAAGAGCCTACTCCTTTTTAAAAGGCCGGCAACGCATCTGCAATTCCCCTGGTGTTGCGGTTGTTCATGGGCGGCGGTAGTCACTTACCATCAGGTGAGCCGCATGCTCGTTTGCCCCCTCTCCTATAAAAAAAAAAAAAAAAAAATTGTAGTATACCATAAATATACGTGGTCGAGCCATGCTGCGGCTATATTAGTAGTATAGTTGTAGCACGAATGGGTCGGCTCGACCGGGAAGGACCTCGCTCTCACAGAATACCAGCGTAAAATAGCAGCTTAACGCTGCTGTGTTTTGTATGGTGAGTCTAGAGAACCGGAGATCCTTTTTACTGGAAACGAGGCATTGCATCTTGTACATGTATAAGGGTTACAGCATTTACCATCAGGTGGAGTGTGTGCTCCTTTGTCACACTTATCCTATAAAAAAAAATTACAAATACTTTTTCCACATTATGCTGTAACTCACACCTAAGCCTCTGCGCCACGGAGCCGTCTACCTTTTAGCCTTGTTAATATTTGTCACGTGGTGATGGTTGTTCCGCCTAGCGTGCCTGTTATTGTAAATGGAAGATTTACTATTTATTATACGTGGTAGAGCCATGCTGCAGCTATATTTCTGGAATAGTTGTAACACGAATGGGTCGACTCGATCGGGGAAGGACCACGCTGTCACAGAATACCAGCGTAAAATAGCAGCTTAATGCTGCTGTGTTTCGTATGGTGAGTGTAGAAAACCGGAGACCCTTTTTACTGGAAACGAGGCTTTTCATCTTATTCCTCACGGGTGATAACGCATCTACATTTTGATTCGTAATCGAGGATAGATGTAAATGTCTATGGGCCACAGCAACCACTTACCATCAGGTGGACTGTGTGCTCGCTTGTCACTCTTATACTATAAAAAAATACAACATGAGACTACTTACGAGAGAGTCGTGTCTATCTGTGGACTTTTAAGGCCTGATGAAGAAGGAAATTTGGGGGGAAATGTGCGTATCTGATTGGTAATTCAATGTGAATATTATGAAAAATATTGGAGCGTGAAAGGAGTTCTGAAGATTCCAGTAAAAGACCCATTAACTTATTCCGAGTTACTATTTAATTAATAAAATTTAACAGGACGTGGACAGAGAATGTACGGCCAAGCTGATATCGCGCTATCGCTACCTTTGGCTTAATCTTTCGGAACAGTTACAATTACTTGGAAACGCTTATGCAAGAACCTACTCCACATATTGTCTCTTCATGTAAGAATCTTTCTTATTTTGAAGGAATTTATTTTATATTACAACTTAAGCTTCACAGCCTAAGCCTAAGAAAAATTTAATGAAATCTTAGAAAAAAAAAGCATATTTACAATATAACAATTCAGGTTATACCAAACAATAATATCAATTAGATTATTCATATTATTTACCAATAGTTTTTAAGTTATTCTTAATAATTTATATAGAAGTCGGTTGTACAACATTTTTAATTTTTAATTATTGTTCAGGTTTGTTAATATAACCATAGCAATTTATGGCGCATTGTCGGAAATCGTGGACCACGGGTTCGGCTTCAGCTTTAAAGAAATGGGACTGGTCGTGGACGCCGTCTATTGCTCTACGTTGTTGTTCATCTTCGCCGACTGCTCGCACAAATCTACCCTTAAGGTATACAATACAACTACTATTATAACTAAACTTACTTATAATCGTTGATTATCGCTTATTCAAACTAGGTATTAATTATCTCTATACCTGTTTTTTTTTTCTATTAACATTTAATGAAAATAGAGAAAGATACTTTATGCAATACATAAATACGTCAATTTTTATGAGTAACGCCTATAATGATTTGCGTTAAATCTTTAAAAAATATTTTTATATTAACTATTTGTAGGATGAAATATTTTTTTTTATAGAATAAGTGTGATAAATGAGCACACAGTCCACCTGATGGTAAGTGGGTGCTGTGGCCCATAGACATTGGCATTTATCCTTAATTAAGAATGAAAAAGCAGATTCGTTGTCACCAATGAAGACTGAGATGGAATGCCTCATTTCCAGTAAAAAGGATCTCCGGTTCTCTACACTCACCATACAAAACACAGCAGATTGAAGCTGCTATTTTAGGCTGGTATTTTGTGAGAGCGTGGTCCTACCTCGGTCGAGCTGACCCATTCATGCTATAACCATAATATAGCTGCTCTAATATAGTGGCTCTACTACGTCCAAAAAATTTATTAATGAAGTCCTTCTAATTTATTCATCCTCTTTTTCCACTCTAGTCAAGTATACTGCTGGGTCGCTTACCAAGCGTAGCAATTATGCCGAAACCTCTATGTCCTAGGCCCATGTCCGCCAGTGAACTGCTGTAGACTAATAAAGGAGGAGAAATTCCTTGTTGCCGAAATTGTCATGTTGTTCTTAATTAGACTGTAAAAATCAACTACTGAACTTGGCCCCCTCCCGTTGGAAGAAGAATTTGTCTGAAACATCATGCTTGGCAGGCGGGCTGAAGGTCGCAGTACCAGATTTCTCGCATCGTTTACCCTGCTTTCCTTCGCCAGCCTGGATGTTTTACGTGTGGTTTAAACAACACACTAATTACCCTCTATTTATATTTACTAGGTATAATAGTATGCTGCGATTGCCGAAAAGAAGATTAAAGTCAGTTAAAGTTAAAGATACAGCCTATTATAACGTCCCACTGCTGGGCACAGGCCTCTTCTCATTTCTGAGAGATGATGATTTCTGAATGCGTGTTGGCGAACTTCACATGTCTTCGAAATATTTTTTTTCCTATTTTTCAAACATGCAGGTTTCCTCACGATGTTTTCCTTCACCGCCGAGCACGTGGTAAATCAACACTTAAAATTGCAATTAACAATTTCATTGGTGCTGGCGGGAATCGAACCTGGGTTGCTCGCGTACTGTGAAATTTACAGCGAGCGCTAACAATTTGAGCTACCGCGGCACTTAAGAGGAGATTATCATTGTCAAAATATTTTTATTGTCGGCAAACACACTGGTAGTTCACGTTTTTTAAAATTTCAGGAATACCTACAAATAAATATTTCCAATAATAATATATTTTCAAGAATGTGCATTAGTAAATAAAATTCCAGAAGGCATAGACAAACTATTTAATTTTTCAAATAACTTTTCGAAGTATTACTTAGCAAATGCAGTTCACAACTCCCCGGATTCTTCGTTGACAGCAAATAGTTATAGAAACTGTCCAAAAAGGTCGCCTTACCGCGCAAATATGAAACGTGCCACATACATGAATGTTAGTTACTTTGAAGGATGGCTATGTGTATTGCATAGTTGTCTAAATTGTCGTACGTTTCAAAGAGTATTTTATTTCTTACTCAACATTACCATTACAGTTCACCGCTGAACATAAGACTCCCTCATAGGTTGCTTCATAAGATTTTGCCATAGTTGCCACGCTTGGCAAGCGGGTTGGCAACTGCAGTTTTTTATTTTTAGTGGTAATTAGCAAGACGCTGCTGTCCATCTCCTGATTTGTTTCCCTCCGTCGCCTCTTACGACACTTTCGGTGTGTGGTAAGGAGCGACACGTACCTACGGTATTTGGGGTAGTGAATACTCTTACACCGCCACTATACGGCACAATCTTAGATGCATCAACCTTAGATGCAGTGTCGGAATAATCAAACACATCCAAATTGGAAAAGTAATAATTTTGTGTTAAGCCTTAGATCCGAGACTGTTCATTTTCTCTTATGATGTACCACGCGGCCATTCTATATAATGTTAATCTTATAAATAAATTAAATTAATAATTTTAATTGCAGGTGGCAGCGGGAGTTCAGGACACGCTTCTATCTATCGATGTTCTGTCAGTAGATAGACCAACGCAAAAAGAGGTTTTTAAATCTGTATACAGTGATAATCGCGATGTCCTCCTGAATAATGTGAAGCTATCCACTTTACGGGAGATATATAATATTTAAAAAAAACCTTGTCTGATCCATGAGGGTGCTTTTAGGGGATGCATATCGTCTTGTGGGTGTCGTTAGAGGCGACAAAGGGGAAACTAAAGCAGGAAATGGGTAGCACCATCTTCTTGACAACTCAAAATTGTCAAAAATTGCGATTGATTGAACCTGACTGCCAAGCCTGGAAACTACGGCCATACTCACGCTATTCGGGCAATCTATTGCGGAGCCCTATGTTCAGCAGTGGACTTTTATAGGCTGTAATGGATGGATCGAAGTAATTGATATGATTCTGTTCATCTAATTCTTTTAAGAAAATAAATATAAAAATACAAAATAACACTTTATTAGAAGTGGAACTTACATGGCAACTGTAATGTTAGAAACGGTGTTGATGAGAAGGGGACGTGTTGCTCAGTTTAAGACTTTAATAAGACTGCTTTTAACAGCTCTATAAAGATAGCAGTGAAAAGTCAGCAGAAAAATAAAAATTATATCTAGGAATTTGTAGCTAATTTGTTGCTAATTAGTTACCAAAATCGCGATTTTGTTGCTCCAACCGGTTTTGAGTGAATTGAATTACTGCTATCTTTACATTAAGATAGCAGTAAAATCTTTTAATCAACTCTGTCGTAGCGGATAAAACGGTATAATTTGTTGCTAATTAGTTGCTGACAAATAATGCAAAAAAAAATTAAAAAAAAAAACATGAAAAATTAATAAAAATCAATTTATGTTTTGATACTGATTCTGAAGTTCCAAATTAATAAAAATTTTGCTGCTAATTAATAAATAGATAAATAACTCCCAGACAGCCTACAACATCATAAAATCGGTCGAAAAGCTGTATCAAGTAATAAGTTACAAATAAATGTGTACATGCTGCCTATACGGGAGATTCAAAAACAGAACAACAGATATATTGTTGCTGTTCAGTAATGAAAGCATAAAGAGCCAGCAACAAAATAAAATAGATCGATAAGTTGCACCAAGTAATAAGTTAATAATTATATGTGTACAAGCTATATCATGAAAATTTTAGGAAAAAAATATAGCAGATATTTTGTTGCTGGTCAGTAACGGAAGCAGTATGTCACAAAGAACCAGCAACAATGTAAAATCGATCAATAAGCTGCACCAAGTATTAAGTTAGTAATTATTTGTTTACAAGTTATATTTTTATGAAAATTTTAGGAAAAATATAGCAGATATTTTGTTGCTAGCCAGTAATGGAAGCAGCAAGTCGTAAAGAGCCAGCAAATAAATAAAATAGGTCGATAAGTTGCACCACGTTATTAGTTAGAAATTATTTGTTTACAAGTTATATTTTTATGAAAATTTTAGGGAAAAATATAGCAGTTATTTTGTTGCTAGCTAGTAATTGAAGCAGCAAGTCATAAAGAGCCAGCAACAAAATAAAATAGATGGATAAGCTGCACCAAGTAATAAGTTAATAATTAGTTGTGTACATGCTATATTTACATAAAAAATTTAGAAAAAAAGGTAGCAGATATTTCGTTGCTGGTCAGTAACGGAAGCAGCAACTCGCTTCCGTTACTGAATTTTTTTTTTAATATTTAAAACTTTAAATATTTTAAATTGTCATAAAATATAAACTTGTAAACAAATAATGCCATCAAAAACATAACTTGTAAAAAAACCAAGTCTCGCAACTCAGTTCTTCTACCGTAAAAAGTTGTGAGATCCATGTAATACCAAGTCGGTTAATTTATTCAGTCCCTACTTAAGGGTCCTTCTGTCTTATGTAATTACGTAATTACCTAACCTAACAACATCTTACAGTGATCACATCAATACTAAAAATCTTTTATATTTTAAATAAATCGCATCGCATGAAAACGCAATGTATCTCTCAAGTAATACATATTATATTAAATTAGATTGTTTAGTGCGATGGCCAAGTCAATTTATATATTTAAAACATAAAAGATTTTTATTATTGATATGGTCACTATAAGATGTTGTTAGGTTAGCTAATTACTACTAGCTAATTATAAGTTATGTTATTGATGGCATCTCATTTATTTTTGTAGATAGTTATATCTAGGAGGTACCTATCTACACCTATTATTCCATTATATTATACATATATAGGTACACTGATTCATTCACTGCAAATGTAACTTTGTAATCCTGTATATTTATATGGGATTACATAGTTATTTATGCAGTTGGTGTATCTCAAAAACTGGACCGAAATTGCAAAATATTTTAATTTTTCCTTGATTTATATACTAAACAATAGTTGTATTCCAAATTTGAAGCTTCTATGTCTGCTAGAAGTGCCTTAGAGTTTTGATGATCGGTCAGTCAGTGAGTAAAAAAATTAAAAAACTTTGACTAGTTATAATTCTTAAACAACTGGTTCAAATTTAATAAAATTTGAAACATATCGAGATTATACAATGCCTACTTGGTTACTGAAAATTCAGGCTTCTAGTTTTATCCACAACGAAGTTATAGGGTTTTGAAAATGGCCTGAACTGCTTCGAGAAAAGGATGGTACGGCCGTGCCGCTTTTTTGCTCGACTTGGCGGGGACGCTGATCTTATTGATCGATTTTACATTGTTGCTGGTTCTTTGTGACATACTGCTTCCGTTACTGACCAGCAACAAAATATCTGCTATATTTTTTTCCTAAAATTTTCATGATATAGCTTGTACACATATAATTATTAACTTATTACTTGGTGCAACTTATCGATCTATTTTATTTTGTTGCTGGCTCTTTATGCTTTCATTACTGAACAGCAACAATATATCTGTTGTTCTGTTTTTGAATCTCCCGTATAGGCAGCATGTACACATTTATTTGTAACTTATTACTTGATACAGCTTTTCGACCGATTTTATGATGTAGGCTGTCTGGGAGTTATTTATCTATTTATTAATAAGCAGCAAAATTTTCATTAATTTGGAACTTCAGAATCAGTATCAAAACATAAATTGATTTATATTAATTTTTGATGTTTTTTTATTTTAATTTTTTTTATTTTAATTTTTTTTTAATTTTTTGCATTATTTGTCAGCAACTAATTAGCAACAAATTATACCGTTTTATCCGCTACGACAGAGTTGATTAAAAGATTTTACTGCTATCTTAATGTAAAGATAGCAGTAATTCAATTTACTCACCGGTTGGAGAAACAAAATCGCGATTTTGGTAACTAATTAGCAACAAATTAGCTACAAATTCCTAGATATAATTTTTATGTTTCTGCTGATTTTTCACTGCTATCTTTATAGAGCTGCTTTTAACAGCTACAATTAACATTAATATATAAGTCGTGTGGGCTACTCTACACTACCGACAAAAAAATGCTATATTTTTATAACAATCCTTAATATTATTTTAAACATATTTAATTAATATCTAAATGAAAACTATAATTTAAGGCATAACATCTAGTTTTAGGAGGGGTTTGGCTGAACCCTCTAGCACATAAAAATGTGTAGTCACAGTTTAGTATAATTGACATAATCAGGCATAATATTATTTTTTCAATTTCGCAAATATTAACGTTATTATTCATTCGTATCCTTATTTATCAAGATATATCATATAGTCCGGACATTTATCAATGCATAGTTTAATAAATGTCCGGATTTACCATACATTTTCCATTATATATTTTTTCGTCCTTATAATTTTCATTTAATTGTTTAACTTCATTTATTTTTTATTTTTACATTTGGTTAACATCAGGTTTTATTTTACTTCTCGGCATTTTAGCTATTCTTTATTAGATAATTGTGCCATTTCTTTCACGTAAGTACACGTCTCGCGTACATACATGATCAAGACAATGAACAATATCATTTCATTCGCTTCTTTACACTTTTTTTTTGAGCATATCAGCTCATATAATTTATTATCTAACTAGCTGTTCCCTGCGACTTCGCCCGTGTGTTTTTAATTATGTTGCGCGGAACCCTAATACTTTTTCTAAAATAAAAGTAGCCTAAGTTACTCCTTATAACATCAGCTAGCCAGTGAAAGTCCCGTCGAAATCGGTCCAGCTGTTTCGGAGATTAGCCGGAACAAACAGACAGACAGACAGACGGACAGACAGACAAAAATTTTTAAAATTGTGTTTTTGTTATAAGTACCGTAAATACTTTTATATGCATTTAGTAAAAAGCTGGTATTTTGACATTACAAACAGACACTTCATTTATTTGTATAGAGTATAGATTATACCATTACTCTCACGTACCTACACGTACATACATAATCAAGATAAAGGACAATGTTCCAATACAATTCATAATAACTTCTCATTTCAAGCATTACCGATACATTACGATTAAATTTTTTTCCGAATTTTATCGAATCCGAGCAACATTAAAAATCAATCGGTTATTAGGTTTTCTAAACACTCAGCTGATAATGCTAATTGTATATGTTGTACATAATTAGCCTTATCAGCCTTATCAGTTGCTGTATTGTAACTTTTCTTTACCTTACTCTCACACCTACACACTATTAATATTTTTCATTTATAATTCCGTATTTTGTAACTTAGCCATACATTTACTTACATCTTTTACAAATTTATATCATATAGTCTCGTATAATATTTAGTTACATCGTTGTCAGTCAGGGATTGAAGATCACAATATGGGCACAGCAAAATTTAAATTAATTGTATACATAATATAATGACTTTCAAAATCGTATTAAACAAAGTAATAATTTTCGCAATCCACACAAATAAGATAGGTATTAAAATTTTACCATTTTCCCAGAAAATAAAGAATTATAAAAGTTAAAAGTTTATTATTTGAAAGTTCAATAAATATAAAACCGAAAATAAATGATTACATTTCATATTAAGATATACAGAATAAAGAAGTCAATTTAAAGCAACGTGATCATGTTCATTAACATGACAACAGACAGATTAAAATATAAATCGTAATCTCAGCCGCGTAAGCGATTTGTGACACCTTTGTTTTAATTACCAAAGTATATACTATATTTTTTATATTTTACTGGTGGTAGATTGGTCCTCTACTAGTGAGAGGCCCGGCCGAGGGTTCGTTACTATCCACCTGGTAAAGACATACCGCCAAATGATGCAAATCGTCTTCCGGTATGATGTTAGGTGAAACCCTTTTCTTAGGGAGAATGGGTCTGGACAGTTGCGTTGCGGCCGTTTATTAATGTCAGGTACCTGGTTATGGAGGTTAGCGGGATCCGAAGCACGATTGCACCGCTGGCCGACCGTAGATAATTGGGGGCCAAATTAATGAGCCAGCCACTCATGAAAGGCTGCCCCGCCATCCTACGAAAAATCCTGGGATGGCTCCACCATGCCGGTTGGCGACCGGAGGAGAGGGCCTGGTGGCAATTTCCAGGGGGGTTCGGGCGTCCCCGCGATCTCCATGCTAGGTAGCATCGATGCTGTGACTCTGTTTGCGTCCCTAGGTTGTACGTGTGACGCCTCGTCCAACTGCCATTCTCTCACCCTATTCACTCCCACCATCAATGAAAAAAAGGAGAAAGAAGAGTAAGTCTGTACAGCGGTTGCACTCCCTCTCCACCAAAGTGCAACTCACAAACATCCGAGGTCCGCACTGTGATCTCAATGCAATTCATTACCACCTTGAGATTGACAAGCCGCACTTACTCTTCTTGACTGAGACGCAAATCAGATGTCCTATAGATGCGGCCTACCTTGGCTCCAATGTGTACCCAGACATTGGAGCATAATTTCCATCAGCGTGCTGGAGTCTGAGTAAGCGTAAACATCTGCTGTAAGCGTCTCCGAAGACCCCTCTTTCTCTACGATCTGGGTATTGATAGAAACAGGAATGGATAAAATTATTTATTCTTGTGTCTACCGATCGCACAGCGGTGACTAGGAGACAGCTAGGCTGTTTGAACACCTCAGTGAAACCTCTGATGTGGCTCTAAATCGGTACCCTGATGCACGGTGGTTTTTCTGTCGGACTTTAATGCTTGTCATCATTTTGCCAAACATCTTTTGGAAACTGGACACCACCTAGCTAACAACCACTCCTTTAAAGTCTTACATACGTGTAATAAAGGGCTGCGGCTGTGTGTGCTGAAACAGTTAGAGATATTAAAAAGTAACAATAGTACCGTTGCATTGCTGAATGAATAAACAAATGTTACTACTACTCACCTCTCTTAAATATCTTTAAGCCTGCTCTCTAATAATAGAGATCCTCGCAATATGGTCGTTTGTCACCCTCACGGTGTTCGGCGATTGGTTGCGTGGTTGGAGGGTGAACGTTGCGCGGCGGTTTGTTTTCAATTTTACAAACGGCTGCGTAAGTCCGGCGGTGATTGGTCGCATGTTTTATCGCATGACGCAGTCGCTCGCTCCTTAAGTAGAGAGCGGTTGCGTCAGCAGTCTGTATAAAAGGCACTTGTTTTGGCTCGCCGCTCACTTAGCGGTTAGCCACCGTAGATTCTAAATCATTTGAGGATGCCTCGTGTAGAGGCGAAACACGTGTCGTATTATCGTCAGTGGTGTGTCTTGCCTAGTGTAGTGGTGTTGGGAGTAGCAGTGCTGGGATTAGTGGTGACGGGGATAGTGCACGCAATTGAGGGAGGGCGGGAGGTGCTCTTCATACTAGGTAAGACACATCATTTTATTTTATAACGCGGATATTTGCGAAGTAAATTTTTTTAAAGCTTTTATATAATGGATTTCCGCAAAGTAACGCCTGATTCTATTAATTATATTAAATAGGAAGTTACGATTTTGGTCCGATTTTGAGAATGCGAGTTTTCGTTAAATCAAAGATTAAAAAAAAACAAAAAAAAACTGAAATAGATTTAAGCGGTGCGCTCGAAAAAAAGCGGGAAATTCCTTGTATGGCCTGCAGGATCAACCGTATTTTTTAAATTTCCCAAAAATTTCGGATAAAATATAGCCTATACCACTTTTGACATTGCTCCCTATCTGTTTGAGAGGGTTTTCCTCAGAAAAAAACGGGTTTAGGGCCCTCAATGCCATGCTACTAAGGCTGCCAATCTATGGTGCTTCTTTTCATTTTCATTGTACGTGGTGTAATGACATGTTATTAATTCGGCAATGTGAATGTCCTAATTACAGTTTTATTTTTCTAGATCGATCACTTTATTCAGGCCATTGAAATGAATCCGGCAGTCGTGAGCTTAAAAGGCTACGCTCACGTCAACAGGGAACTACTGACATCGGTATAACACCATTAAAATATTTTGTGTACGATAATAATAAGATCAAGTAACCGGGACGGTTACTTGATCTTATTATTATGTCCCTGTCCGTATCCGTGTAGTAGCGGTATAAAAATGACCACTATCCGTATCGTGGTGTGGGTGTTATGAGAGACGATATAGGGAACTAAAACAGAAGATGGGCAGCAGCATCTTCCTGATAACGACTCAAAATATAGTACGTGAGGGTAATATGGTCATCCGGTTAATATGGTCACTTTCTTAAAACTCAAAAACCTTTTTTACATAGGGTGGTTTTGTGATTAGATAGCTCTTTATCAGTCAATCAAATAATAAAGGGTCAAAAGGGCGCTCCTTTATCGATGCCATTTTCACAGTTGAGAATATAGTAAAAAAAATTGTCGATTTTAGTATAGTGTAGTGTAGTTTCTTATAAGATGATTTTGGAAGTGTTCCTAATTATTGGCAAAGCTTGTTTGCTATTTTTTCTTAATAAATTAGTTATAGTATACGACTTTGTGTTTTTGTTACTGCCCTCCTCCTTGTTTGGTTTTATAGGGCGGCAAAACTTAAGGTGGACCATATTACCCTCACGTACTTTAATAGAAAACTGTGGTTGCCAACCCGCCTGCCTATAGCAAAATCCCATAAACATCGTAAAGCTGTAAACATGGTTAATAGACATTGCTACTATCGATAATACTGAATCTTAGTTAAACATTGAAAAAACTAATGACCACAAAACAATTAAAAGCCATTGATGTCGTTTGGGAAAGTGTAACAAGAGTCACGGGAAATCTAACCCTGGCGACACTTTCGCGACATTTATTAAATTCCCGATTGCTTTGACAGTAACCTTGGACCTCACCTGGAAGTAACTTATCGACTTTGATACTAAAATGTAGTCGTTAGGAATGAATAGGCGAAGGTATCTTGTTTCAGATGAAATTAAATTAATTCTCAATTTTAGAGGCCTGTCTGCTTTCAAGAAAGGTTTTATTAAATAAAAATGGCAAAAGTAAAGATATTAAGTTACTACAACTTCAAAACAAGTACAAGGTTCATTTTGTACATTATGGTATCTGTAGTCCATTGACACCAATTTCGTTGAAGATTTAAAGTGATCGAATGTTGTCACCGTGAGGAAATAAGGAACGTATACTAGTAGAAACTATAACGGGATAGTTTCTTCGATCTCTAATGGATTTACTGCCGCATTATGATATCGTTTCATTCTGGTATTCTCTGAAGACTGTAACGAGGACATACACCAACTTCTTCTCCAAAAGCTAACCGGATATTAATACGTCATACCCTGCTTAATGCTAACACACGAGCGAACCTTTGATTATCGACTGATGGTATATTCATGAGAAGAAAATCGCCCAGCGTGGTGAAAATTGGGCGTTCTCTTTTAGGCTACGACTTTTTTTTTAATGATTTTTATAAGCACAAGTATACACGCAATACAAACATTAACGATAGATAAATTTCCAGCAGTCTGGTAGCCAAATACACAAACACTACTCAATTTTAACATGCCGTTAAGGCTCTTGGTGTCACAGTCACTTTGACTATAAGTGATAGAGACAGCACGAGACTTAACGGCGTCTTAAATTGAGTAGCGTTTGATTATTTGGACAGATGTCTAGCATATTATTGTTTATTGTTTAATGATGATAATATAATTTTTTATTTGATTATAATTTTTTCTTTTTGTGACACTTCGTTGATAATCAAAAAAAGAACACATTTATTAATTACTCATTTACTCATTTTGTTTATTTGCAGGCAATTAGTATGATCGCCATCTACCTCATTGTTCTCCTGCAATTCAAGATTTCATTGCCTAAGGCTTAGATTATAAGGACATACAAACTTCTTATACGTAATTATTACTACCGTAAAACCTGGCAACTTTACCATTTTTGGAAGAACATTAAAATCTATGAGGTCTTATGAGGTCATCCACGATTTTTTCTGCCACCAGGGCGGCGCCACTAGAAAGAGAGGTATAATATTTGATAGATTTCATAGCGGGGAAGTTAATTTGTTCGGAAATGTAAAAGTTATTGTTTTATATGTTTGTAATATTAGCTATACTTAATAAATAAACCACTGACGCATTGTTTAGTGTATTTAATATAATACTCTAGAAACTGATAAGCTTTTATTAAAAACAACTTTTCAATTAAATTACATTGTGTAACAAAAAAACTTTACCTCAGTGTCAACTAGCGACATCTGGTGAGCAGAAAATTATTAGCCCTCATTTTCTAACAAAAAATGTACTCTAACACTGGGCGTCAATATTAAATGTGACATTATATTCTTCATAAATTTGGTATTTATTAGTGATTTAAAGAAATACTAATATTAAGTTAAAAAAACCCTCAAAAATAGAAAATAGCAAAGTTAACCTCACTTTGTGGCAACTTTGCCATTAGGGTTTTTAATGAAAATAATATGATTTGACTTCAACGATGAAGGTAAGTTTACCACATAATACATATAATACACAACACTCAGAGTTATGATTTGCTCCTTTAACTGAGTTACAAGTAACAAAATTGCAAAGTTGCTCGCCCATATTACAATTTTTCACACAAACTTGAAAATATGTGTTAGGGTTGTCAAAAATCCTTGATTACGTACTTTACTTAATGTTTTTATTTAAATCTTGTCACAATAATTTCTTAGGCAAAAATCTAAAATATATCTAACAAAAATACTCTCGTCTAAAAGTAAAAATCAAATCATCATTTTTATATAGTATAGATAAAAAAGGCTTTCAAAATCACTTTTAATAAGTATTCGTTTTTTTATTAGTCATCATCATCATTTTATTACGATTAGGTAAAAAAATAAATGTAACCAATCTAAACATGGTTTTTAGGGTTCCATGCCCAAAGGGCAAAGGTAAGCGTCAGGTGCCTAACGGCAGGGCACGGACCGCGAACTCGAAAGGTCGTGGGTTCGAATCCTACTACTGTCGTGAACCACTTCTAACACAAGCATTTTAAGCTTACCAGAAGTGTTTAAAGGGAATATTAGTAATGTCTAACAGCATTACTAGTATTTTTCAAAAAAAAGTATTACTAAGCCTCCGCTATACGTTCGTCCGTCCGTCCGTCAGTCTGTCTATCTGTCAGCGGGCTGTATCTCATGATTCGTACTAGGTAGATCATTGAAATTTTCACAGAATATATATTTCTGTTGCCGCTATTACAACTATTACTACAACAAATAATAAAAAACAAAATAAATTAAAAATTAAAACTGGGCCCCCTACTAGAAACGTGTATTACGATGGTACGGTACCCTAGTAGTGTAGTTGTACCACTTCTAGACCACCTGAGTCAGACGTGGTTCAACGACGTTCGTCGACGCCCGATCCTAAAAAAAAAAAAAAAAAAAAAAAAAAGGTTTTGGCATGCTCTGATCACGAATCAGCGGTCCATTTTTGTGTAGAATGCACGGTTCCGGAGATGTGTAGATCAATTAGCTAATATCTAATTGATATCCGGTAAGGGCCTCCACCGTCATTAGCGTCCCATTGTTCCTATTTCTATTGTTCTATTGTTCCTTAATCACCTTCATTGCAGCGTGTGCGTCGACTATATCAGTGCTATTGTATTATAATTCTTTGTTTATACAACGTTAATCTGAATCATCAATAAAACACATTACATAATTTTGTTACAATTTTTATTTATAAAATACAAAATCTTATTAATTATTATCTATAAAATAGGAGCGAAACATCTCATCCACTAAAATATCGTTGTACAATGTGTTCCTTGTAAATATACTCGTAAAACTATGTATTGAACATCCTTGAAACTTGTATAGCAAATACATTAAGCAATATTCGCCACAAACTGAAGTCCACTCATTCTGAATCCTATCAACATTCCAGTTCCATCTTTTACAATTCCTTTTTAAAAACTCTAGATGATATCGTACAGGTGATCGTCCATATGAATCAAAATATTGACCGACGTCATTCGTATCGATATATAAAGCTACCCAATGTGACCCTGGTTTATCATCTGTATCCAAATTACATATTATATACGTTGGTACGTGGGTATACATAGGCAGTCTATTAGCTGCATAAACATTATTTTCTAGACTGGGGTGAATCTTTTTCAGATGTTGTTGTACATCTAGTGTATCCATGATATTACTGCTATTAGTAGATTATTACAGTACCTAGCTACTCAATGAATAACATAGGAATGGTCAATTATAGTGATTTCTACATATTAAATTGCATTTTTGTGATATACAAATCGTACTTGAGTCATTGATCACCAAACAAAACACAATACGAAGAAATGTTGAGATAGGCAACGGAAATGTGAGATAAACTGATATGTTTCTAAATATTAAATTGCATTTTTGTGTTATACAAATCGTACTTGAGTCATTGATCACCAAACAAAACACAATACGAAGAAATGTTGAGATAGGCAACGGAAATGTGAGATAAACTGGTTGACGCATAAAGTAATTATCAACTCATTACGGAAATACTTTAGATTAGAATTTTTACGTACTGGTGGTATATAAGACCAACAAACGCAGTCATCGAGTTAGTGTACGGTCGTTTGGCTACAGTGGATCTATCAATAGTACATTTTGTGTTACTTCAATAGACCAAAGGCTATGGATGTAAGTGTTTATTCTATTGACTAAATTACTTTTTTTCTGTTATTTTCATGTGTGTGTATTATTTTATTTAAATATTGTGTATGTATATGATTAAGCCGTGGTAACTCAGATGGTTAGCGCTAGCTGTAAATTTCACAGTACGCGACCCGGGTTCGATCCCCGCCAGCACCAATTAAATTGTTAATAGCAATTTTAAGTGCTTATTACCACGTGCTTGGTGGTGAAGGAAAACATCGTGAGGAAACCTGCATGTCTGAGAAAATTTCGAAGGCATGTGAAGTTCGCCAACACACATTGAGGGAGCGCGGCGGACATTTCCTTGCTCTAAAACCCTCTCAGAAATGAGAGGAGGCCTATGTTCAGCAGTGGACTTTAATAGGCTGTAACTTTAACTTTTTTAACTTTTATGATTAAGTGTTAACAAATTGATATTAACATGATAACTGTGTTGTTGCAGAAATCATTGAGCTTCGATGAAGATACCTATAAACAGTATTACTACTCGCCACTCTCCCCTCAAGAAGAGAGTGATAACCTCGTCATTAATAATAACACATGCGATGGTGGAAAAAGAAAATCGCAATCGATTGATCATTTTTTTGAAGCTGAATCAAAAATAAAAAAGAGGAAGGGAAAACTTCAGTGAAGTGTGCACCAGTGCTTTTTTCTCCACAATCATGGAAGAGAATACGGAATTATTCAATAGCAAATTAAATCAGGAGTTGTCTAAAGTTTGTGAAGAAATGGAGAGGGGTCAACTGTTCGATTCGTCATACGATGATGAGTTGTATCATCACTGTGCGATGGTTGAAACACAGTTTAAGTATGTAAAATAAACATTCATTTCGATCATAATTTACATATTGTCTTATACAGTTTTTAATAAATTTAAACATTTTAGCAGTCAACCACTACAACTTGGAAGAGGAACGAAGCGAACGTGCAGCAAAGAATCCAAGATCATCAAAAAACCAACAACGGAAGCAGAAGCGCATACCTCTGCAGGGAACAGTATCAGTAACGATGATCAAGTGGAATGTCCAACGTGCCATATATTTATCAAGAAACGGTATTTAGCTAATCATTTTAAAAGTAATGTTCATAAAAATAATCTTTTAAATTCACATAATTCTTTATCAAACGTTAGTGTTATTGAATCTGCTTTTGGAAATAGGATTTTAACTTATAAAATCAAGAGTAGAGTAGATCGTTCGACATGGGTAAATTTTGAAACTCCTGAACTATTTTTAAATTCTATTAAAGATGATATTTTATTTTTATTACAAGAGTGTATTCATCAACACATAATTTTTAAGGTAAACTTCATATTGCATGCTGATTTTGTTCAACAAACTAAAGATATTCATGATACGTTCGATTTTCAAACGCTTAACTATATTATTTGTCAAGGAGATGACTTAAATATTTTTCTTTCATCTTTAAATGATACAATTACTACTAAAATTAGTGCTTTCGAAAAAAAAGATAGTGGATGGAGTCTAAAAAACATAAAATCTATAGACATGAATGTTAATAAATTTAACCCCCTACGCGGTACTTCATACATAGATCTTCCTCGTGACATAAAATTAAAAAAGGCTGTTATAAATGTAAAAAACAAGGATTATTTTTGTTTTAAATGGGCGTTACTCTCGGCGTTATATCCTGTAAACAAACACACCGATCGGGTATCATCGTACGTTAAACATGCAAATAAACTTAAATTTGATGGTATTTCCTTTCCGGTTAAAATTTCTGACATAGCAAAAGTAGAGAAATTAAATGATATTAGTATTAATGTTTTTGGGTTAGAATATAATAAAGAAAAACGATGTAATTCTATAGTAGGTCCATTATTTTTAACAAAGTGTCGTAAAGATAGACATATCAATTTATTATTTTTTTTCAAGGATACAAAAAATCATTATTGCTATATAAAAAATTTATCGCGGTTAGTTAGTAAACAAATTTCAAAAGACGGTCACATCATGTACATTTGTGAAGCATGTCTACTTCGTTTTCCATCTCAGGAAAGGTTAAATAACCATGAACAATACGATTGTGCTCACATTTGTACAGTATTACCAAACAGTGAAACTTTAAAAAAAAAGAATTGGAAAAACCTATTTCAAATGATAAAATTAAATTTGATAGTTATGAAAAAAAGTTAAAGATACCACTCGTAGTTTATGCTGATTTTGAAGCATTTTTAAAACCAATAGAATCATGTTCTAACGATCCTTCCAAACCTTTCACTCATAATATTCAGAAACATGAAGTACATAGTTTTGGATATTATATAAAATGTTCATATGATGATAAATTATCAAAATATGTAACATATTGCGGACCCAACTGTGCACAAGTGTTTATGGAAAGTTTATCTAACAATCTAAAAGAAATAAATAGACTTCAAAAATATCCACCACTTCCGCTAACAAATGAAGACAAAAACCAAATTTCAAATGCAACCATTTGTCATATTTGTGAAACTGAGTTGGCAAAACATTTTTATGATTTTGATTGGTACACTGGTAGTTTTATAGGTGTTGCTCATGAATCATGTTGTTCGAAGATCAGAACACCTAGTTATATACCAATATTTTTACACAACCTTAGTCACTATGATGCTCATTTTATTGTTCACGCGTTAAACTTTTGTGATGGTGAAGTCGAAGTTATCCCTCAAAATAAAGAAAAATATATATCCTTTTCCAAAAAATTAAAAGTGAATAACCACGAAATTATATTGAGATTCTTAGATTCATTTAAGTTTTTATCGTGTAAATTAGAAGAATTGGCCAAAAATCTCAGTAATGATCAATTTCAAGAATTACGTAGAAATTACCCTAATGATGAAGATTTCTTTCGTTTAAAACGGAAAGGTGTTTATCCATATGAACTTATGACTAATTATGATAGTTTAAGTCTAACATCGCTCCCTGAACAAAAATGTTTTTATAGTTCACTCACAGATTCACATATTTCAAATGATGATTACAATCATGCTAAAGATGTTTGGGAACATTTTGGGTGTTGTAATATGCTAGATTATTCAAACCTATATTTAAAAACAGACGTTTTACTTTTATCCGATGTATTTGAAAACTTTAGAAAGTTATGTATTAATACATATGATTTAGACCCTGTCCATTATTACACAGCACCCGGTTTAAGTTGGGATGCAATGTTAAAATATACAAAAATAGAATTAGAACTTTTAACAGATTATGAGAAAATTGCATTTATTAGATCAGGTATCAGAGGTGGTGTATCTCAATGTAGTAATCGTTATGCTAGAGCTAATAACAAATACATGGAGGATTATGATACAGGGAAACCAAATTCATATATCACATATTTTGATGCCAACAATTTATATGGTTGGGCTATGTCTCAATATCTTCCTACTGGTGGATTCGAATGGGTAAATCCAAATACAGAATTTAATGTGTCTAAGACATCAGACTTCGGTTTTATTTTAGAAGTTGATTTGGAATATCCAGATGAACTTCATGATTTACATTCGGACTTTCCTTTATGTCCAGAAAACATTTGTGTAGGCAATATTAATGAGAATAAACTAGTCCCAAATTTAAATAATAAAGATAAATATGTAATTCATTACAGAAATTTAAAGCAGTGCATAGAAATGGGGGTTAAATTAACTAAAATTCATAGAGTTTTAAAATTTAAACAGTCTCCCTGGTTGAAGATGTACATAGATCTAAACACAAAATTAAGAACTTTAGCAAAATCAGATTTCGAAAAAGATTTTTATAAATTAATGAATAATTCAGTCTTCGGTAAGACTATGGAGAATATTGAAAAAAGGGTTAACATAAAATTAGTTACGCACTGGGAGAACCAGGGTAAAGCTTTAGGTGCTCAAGATCTAATCGCTAAACCACAATTTCATAGCCTTTCAATATTTTCGGAAAACCTAGTTGCGGTTCAGTTGCGAAAAACGAAGTTAATATATAACAAACCAATTTATTTAGGGTTTTGCATTTTAGATATTTCAAAAACATTAATGTATGATTTTCATTATAACTATATGATTAAAAAGTTTAGTAAAATCAAATTATTGTATACAGATACGGATAGTTTAATATATCATATATTTACAAATGATTTTTACACTGATATAAAACCTGACCTTTCATCATACTTTGATACCTCAGATTATGATACAAATAATATTTTTGAATATCCAAAATTAAATAAAAAGAAATTAGGTTTTTTTAAAGATGAAAATAATGGTAAAATCATGAAAGAATTTGTGGGTTTACGATCCAAAATGTACGCTTTTAACTTAGAGAATAAGACTATAGCCAAGGCAAAAGGGGTAAATAAATGTATCACTAAAAAGATGACAATGAATAGTTATAAGTCTTCTCTATTTAATAAAAAAGTGCAATATTATAGTATGCTTAGATTTAAATCAATTAAACACACAATTTTCACACAAAAATTAAATAAGATAGGTTTATCATATAATGACACAAAGAGACATATTTTAGATAATAATATTGAAACATTAGCTTGGGGTCATTATAAACTGCGTTAAGTGTTGATTTTTACTTTTATGTCTGCGTTTAAGAAAAATTTATATTGATTGTAAAATTATGATAATACTATAATATGACGTAGTTTATTACATATTTAAACATTGTTTTATTGTAAATAATTTAAGTTAATTGTTGTTTCTATTTATTTGAGGTTGAGTTAATTGTAAAATTATGATGTACTAATTGTTGTTTCTATTTATTTGAGGTTGAGTTAATTGTAAAATTATGATGTACTAATTGTGTTAGAAATAGTATACAGATAATTCTGTTTTATATAATTTTTGGAATATATATTAATTGTTTACACCAACACTTTCATTTTTTATTTCACCCCTTTGAACTTTAGACGTGTGTTATGTTTCACTTTATCCATCCGTTCACTGCTATTGTGGCAGGACCAAGTGGGTGTGGGAAGTCAAATTTTGTAACAAATTTCATAAAATCAGTTACAGAAATATGTAATTGTGATTTTAATCAGATCACATGGTGCTTTGATGAAATGCAACCATTATATAATTTACTAAATGTTAACTATCATCAAGGAATTCCAAATCTTAATATGTTTGATGGTGAAAACCCACATCTTGTTATTATTGATGATCTAATGAGAGAGTCCGATGGAAGAATTGTGGATATATTTACAAAAGGTAGTCATCACAGGAATCTTAGTGTATTTTATCTAACACAAAATTTATTTCATCAGGGTAAAGGACAAAGAGACATATCTTTAAACTCAAGTTATATAATATATTTTAAAAACCCTCGAGATAAAACTCAAAAAAGATATTTAGCAAGACAAGTATCACCAGATAACCCAAAATTCATTGAAAATGCCTACAGGGATGCAACTCTAGAGGCACATGGATATTTAATGGTAGATTTAAAACAGAATACCAATGATATTTGTCGTATCAAGACAAATGTCTTTCCATTTAATGGTTTCTGTACAGTCTACGTCCCCACAAAAGAGTTTAAATACACCAAGAATCAAACAATTGAAATCATTGCTAAATGATGCATCGTCGACTCACAACGTATAAACATTTGCTAACCGCTTTGCATACGCTTAAACCAAAATATCAAAGAGCATTACTTAAAACGTGTGATGAAGAAGAAATTAACTGTATTTGTGAGTGTATTCATAACGTTTTACAAGGAAAAGTACCTCTTAAAGATCAGGATAAACAAAAATTGAATAAACATAAAAACATACTCCGTAAACTAGTACGTAAGTGTAAACATAAACTAAGAAAAAATATAATTATACAAAAAGGAGGGGCTTTCTTACCAACAATATTAGGTGCAATATTGAGTGGATTAGTGAGTGGACTAGCCAGTTAACATGGAAAATGCAAAGAAAATGATACTTATCGAACCTGGATTGATTGAAAAATTAAAACAAGAAAATAAGGTTAATAGTAATTTATCTCGATTAGATATTGAAATGCAAAATATTATGAATAGTAAGACGGAAGACCGAAAGAAATGGATATTATATTTACAAACACTGCAAAGATACCTTCATTTTACCGAAGAGGATCGTCAACCACTCAAATTACCAATTTATTCTGATACATCTAATGAAGATTCAAATGAGTCAAAAATTGGTTTTAAAAATAAAGATAGAGATCTAAAAACTTCAGTTGATATTGAATCTTTGCTGGAGGAGAATCGATCCATTAAAAGTAAAGAAAATGATGAAAATCCACTTTACACACCAGCTCAAATACTCAGTTTAATACCAAAAACTTATCATAAAAAAGGGCAGTTATTATTAAACTTAGTTGAAACAAGTAAAAGTAAAATACATTGGGATAACGAAGGTACAGTCATAATTGATAGTGGAAAATTCCTGGAAGTAATATTGTTGATTTAATAAATGATTCACTAAGACCCCTAAAAAGAAGTGATCCGGTAGGGTGGGTTAGATTTGCTGAAGCATTAAAAGATATTAAAGTACCACTTACTTATATTGGAAATCCAAGGAGATGTGAGTTTATTAACCAACTTCAAGCAAAAGATCTGAACAAACCCTCTGAGATTGAAGTTCAAGAGTTTTCTACACCGTGCAGTAGAGATAAAAAGTCTACAACTAAAATACGTAAAGGACTTGAGTGGGAAAAATGGACTCCGTACTAGAAGAAATTAACAGGATTTATTATGATCCATCTAATCCCGCTGGTTTTGGTAGTATTGATAAATTATCAAAAGCCATGAAGGGTAAAATGAATAAAAAGCAAGTAAAGGAATGGTTAAAATCACAAGAAACATACACATTACATAAACCCATTCGAAAAAAATTCCCGCGTAATAGGTACATTCTATCAAATATTAATGAACTGTGGCAAGCTGATTTAAGTGGTATGCGAACTTATTCTCAATATAATGATGGTTTCAAGTATATACTTTGTATTATTGATGTATTTAGTAAATATGCTTTTGCAAGACCAATGAAAAAGAAAAACTCAGAAACAACTAAAGAATGTTTTGAAAGTATATTTACTGAAAGTAATTTAACACCTACTCACATACAATCCGATAAAGGTACCGAATTTGTTTCAAAAGATGTACAAAAATACTTTAAATCCAAAAAGATTAATTACTATACCACTAACAATCCTGACATTAAGGCCAGTATTGTTGAACGATTTCAAAGAACACTAAAAATGAAAATGTGGCGTTATTTCACTCATAATAATACTTATAGATATATAGATGTTTTACAAGATTTAATATACTCTTATAATCACAGCTTTCACTCTAGTATTAAGATGTGCCCATGTGATGTAAATTCCAACAATATTATGACAGTTTGGACTAATCTTTATGATAGACGGTCAAAAAAACTTTCTTTAGAAAATCCTAAACCAAATTTCAATGTGGGTGATTATGTTCGAATAACTAAATATAAACATGTATTCCAAAAAGGATATGAATCAAATTGGAGTGATGAAATATTTATTATATCTTCAATAATTGATAGATCTCCATGGGTTGTTTATACAATAACAGATTTACAAAATGAACCAATAATTGGTACTTTTTATGAAAGAGAATTACAGAAAATCACTTACAACCCCACCTCACAACATAAAATAGATAAAATAATTGACACTCGTTATTCAGGTAACAGAAAAGAAGTATTAGTGAAGTGGAAAGGTTATCCAGATAAATTTAACAGTTGGATTTTAGCTTCTAGTTTAAAAGAAATATGAATAAAGAAAGTTTCTATTTAACTTTGCTCAGCAATAGTTCAATGGAATACTTTCCTGATAACAAGACCACAAATTTTTCAACGAAATTACCAAAAGCTATAAAATTAGAAGGTGAATGGTCGGTTGGAGTTGTCGAGTTTCAATATCCATGTACCATGTTTACTGTTCAAGACCATGAAAATGTTATATACATTACAAAATCTATGTTAATGCCTAATGAAGATAAGCCATCCACAGTGTACTACAAAAAACATATTCCAGCTACCAACTATGATAACGTTGAGCATATTTTAAGAGTGTTAAATGGTATCGGAGAGAACTTGAAATTTCGCTATGATGAAATAACAAAATTTGTGTCTATTTCGGTATTGGATAAAAATATAACATCCGTAACATTATCACCCAAATTAAGTTTACAGCTAGGTTATGAACCAAATAAAAATCTCCTAGAGAGAAATTTTGGAAAGTGTCCTGCTAATTTACACTTAGGGTTACCATCTCAACTATTTCTATATTGCGATATTATCGATCCTCAGATTGTGGGTGATGTTATGACTCCTTTATTAAGAGTCATTTCATTAGATCCTACAAAATACATTTATGGTGCAAATAAAATGCACGTTTTCTCTCAACCTCACTACTTACCTGTTATGCGAAGAGAGTTCGATACGTTGGAAATAGTTATAAGATCGAGTACAGGACAAAAAATACCATTCCAGTTTGGAACCGTGTGTATTAAACTACATTTCCGAAAATTATAATAATGAATTCTCTTCGTGATCATCATAAATGTCCATATGAAAATTATTATACACATCAAGCTGGATCAGGAGTTGGAGTAATTTATAAGGGTTCACCATATCAACGCGGTCATGGTATTGGGAGCTTCTTAGGGGGGTTATTCAGATCAGTTTTACCTTTACTTTCAAGTGGTGCTCGAGTGATTGGTAAGGAGGCATTAAGCGCTGGAGTAGGACTTTTATCGGATATGGTTCAAGCCCGTCCTATGGAAGCCTCAATAAAAGATCGTCTAAAGCAAGTTAGTACGAATTTAAAACGAAAGGCTGATGAGAAAATTGATCAATTTAACATGACTGGATCTGGGTATAAAACTAAAAGAAAACGATTGACATCGTTCATTCCACCATTAACTGCTAAAGTGAAAGCTGCGAAAAAACTTAGTCTAAAACCAAAAAATATCAAAGATATATTTTCAAACTAAATATGTCTTTCCTTCATAATCATTCTTGCGAGTGCGTTAAGTCAGAATTGGATTTGTTTGCACTACCGTCTACACAAACTAGCATTGAAAATGGATTGTGGATTCATTATAAACCAATTTCATCTCTTGGTGATGATGGACCTATCGAGTTTCAAGTTCCTGGGACCGGCGATGACTACATAGATTTGTCTCATACATTACTCCACATAAAGGCAAAAGTATTAAATCAAGATTCAACTAACTTGGTATCTACTACAATAGTAGCACCTGTAAATAATTGGCTGCATTCACTTTTTAGTCAACTTGATGTTTATTTAAACCAAAAACTTGTATCACCACCTAATAATACCTATGCATATCGAGCATACATGGAAACCCTTTTAAACTATGCCCCTGCTGCTAAACAATCTCATCTTACTTGTAGTCTTTGGTATGAGGATACAGCAGGAAAAATGGATTCTACAGATGGTAAAAACATAGGATTTGTTAAAAGACAGGAATTGATTAGTGAAAGTAAGGAAATAGAAATGATTGGTCATCTTCACGGTGACATTTTTAACCAAGATAAATTTTTAATTAATGGTGTTGAAATGAGTGTTAAATTGGTTCGATCAAGAGAGAGTTTTAATTTAATTGTTGGGTCGAACGATGTAAAGTTTAAAGTTTGCATTACGGACGCAACTCTTATTGTGCGACGAGCACGAATTAATCCAAGTGTATTACTCGCACATCAAAAAGTTTTAGCTTCTACCACTGCTAAATATCCTATTACTCGAGCTGAAGTAAAAGTTTTAACAATTCCTTCAGGTGTTCAAGGAAAAACTCTTGATAATATATTTTTAGGACAGGTACCGAAAAGATGTATAATTGGATTTGTGAACAATTCTGCATTTAATGGTTCCCTTACTAAAAATCCATTTAACTTTGAAAACTATGGTATTAATTCTTTCAGCTTATATATTGATGGTCAACAAATACCTTCAAAAGCTTTGCAACCATCTTTTAATAATAGCATATTTACATCAGCATATCATACTCTATTCTCGGGAACTGGTATTCACTTTCTTAATGAAGGAAATGGAATCTCTTGTGAACAGTATGGCAAAGGTTACTGTCTATTAGCATTTGACTTAACTCCTGATTTATCAGCTAACTCATCAACTCATTGGAATCTCATAAAGCATGGTAGTGTAAGAATAGAAGTACGATTTGAATCCTCATTAATACAAACAATTAACTGTATAGTTTATGCTGAGTTTGATAATATTATTGAGATAGATAAAAACAGAAATGTTACTGTAGACTATAGTAGTTAAGGTTATAATATGTGTTGTGTGTTAGATTTTATGTGTTATGTGTAATGCATTCTGTGTGTATGTAACTATGTGAAACGTTATAAAATTAAATAAAACAAATTGTATGCAATATATTTTTTTTATTTCTTTATAAATCTTCTATTTAATCTAATACAAAACACTGTTCGAGTTGAAATTTTACATAAGCACACTGACTAAACCACTGAACATGCTGCTGCCAAGGATCATCATCATCTTCCCAATCTTTTAAACCACCACCACAATGGAAACACTTGGTCCCGTCTGCATGGCCAGTATAAAAGAAACCAGCTTCGGCAAGATCTTCAGGTTTCTGTCGCATAACTAGAGGCCAGTTTTCGAAACTAAGCAAACGGCTAGATTTTGAACTGAAGAATGGATATTCAGCTCTTGAGTACTGCATACTCTTCTCGTTTTCTTCTCCACTCAGTGTTGTAGTTTTGTTATTCAATGATGTGTTTTGTACACGTATGCCACACTCATCTCTTCCTTCCGCTCTTGTCTTCCTGTAATTGAAGTAAACAGAATCACATTCACTAATGATCAGCTAATGACTGTCATTGTTAAAAAAGTATTTTTTAACTTTTTCACTTTCTGCTATTGTCTTTGTTATATTGTATACGAGGGCGTTTGTATTGTCGTAGATGCTATCCTTATTAGTCTTTACGTAATATTTAATTCTCGTGGAAGCATGTTTCCAATGATCAGTAGTTGGAATCTTGGATAGCTTCTTCATATCGTACATTTCAATTTTGATGAGATGCGTCGCTTGGTCTCCGTCGTCAGAATTAGTAGAAATGTATGATACACCATCTCTAGCGGCTCGTGCTACGGTTGATGATAACAGCTTCCTCTTTTTTATTTTTGATTCAGCTTCAAAAAAATGATCAATCGATTGCGATTTTCTTTTTCCACCATCGCATGTGTTATTATTAATGACGAGGTTATCACTCTCTTCTTGAGGGGAGAGTGGCGAGTAGTAATACTGTTTATAGGTATCTTCATCGAAGCTCAATGATTTCTGCAACAACACAGTTATCATGTTAATATCAATTTGTTAACACTTAATCATAAAAGTTAAAAAAGTTAAAGTTACAGCCTATTAAAGTCCACTGCTGAACATAGGCCTCCTCTCATTTCTGAGAGGGTTTTAGAGCAAGGAAATGTCCGCCGCGCTCCCTCAATGTGTGTTGGCGAACTTCACATGCCTTCGAAATTTTCTCAGACATGCAGGTTTCCTCACGATGTTTTCCTTCACCACCAAGCACGTGGTAATAAGCACTTAAAATTGCTATTAACAATTTAATTGGTGCTGGCGGGGATCGAACCCGGGTCGCGTACTGTGAAATTTACAGCTAGCGCTAACCATCTGAGTTACCACGGCTTAATCATATACATACACAATATTTAAATAAAATAATACACACACATGAAAATAACAGAAAAAAAGTAATTTAGTCAATAGAATAAACACTTACATCCATAGCCTTTGGTGTATTGAAGTAACACAAATGTACTATTGATAGATCCACTGTAGCCAAACGACCGTACACTAACTCGATGACTGCGTTTGTTGGTCTTATATACCACCAGTACGTAAAAATTCTAATCTAAAGTATTTCCGTAATGAGTTGATAATTACTTTATGCGTCAACCAGTTTATCTCACATTTCCGTTGCCTATCTCAACATTTCTTCGTATTGTGTTTTGTTTGGTGATCAATGACTCAAGTACGATTTGTATAACACAAAAATGCAATTTAATATTTAGAAACATATCAGTTTATCTCACATTTCCGTTGCCTATCTCAACATTTCTTCGTATTGTGTTTTGTTTGGTGATCAATGACTCAAGTACGATTTGTATAACACAAAAATGCAATTTAATATGTAGAAATCACTATAATTGACCATTCCTATGTTATTCATTGAGTAGCTAGGTACTGTAATAATCTACTAATAGCAGTAATATCATGGATACACTAGATGTACAACAACATCTGAAAAAGATTCACCCCAGTCTAGAAAATAATGTTTATGCAGCTAATAGACTGCCTATGTATACCCACGTACCAACGTATATAATATGTAATTTGGATACAGATGATAAACCAGGGTCACATTGGG